GATAAAGAGCGGGAAAACTTACAGTACCAAGGTATTTGTAATAGGAACACACTGAGACTGCGCGTGGGCGCTGAAAATGGTGATGGTTCCGCCGTAAAAGATCAGGCCGTTGCCGATGCATTAGGTAACCGATTCTATATTCCCCTAGACTTTGAATTACTAGATTCCCACATGCCCTTTTATCAAGCATCCCTAGGCGATAGGTTAGAATACGAACTCACTTTTAATGACTACGGCAGAGTAATCAGAGCTTGTGAAGATGCTAGCTATTCCATTGACAATATCTTGCTGGAGTATGATATGATAACAGATCCAGAATTAGCCAGACAAATTCGTAACCAGTATACCGGAAGTTTAGCAATTTTGTACGATCGCGTGCTGCGACATCGAAAGATCACGAGGAACAAAATAGAAATGATGTGGAATATCAATCTAAATGTTCCCACTAGGTCGTTGAAGGGTATTTTAATGTTGTTCGAGGACCCCTCCGATGCGTTTAAAAGAAATACCGAGAAGTTCTACAATCCCAAGATTACAAAAGTAGAATTGACTATCAAGGGCGTTCCTAATCAACTATATAGTCAAGGAATGCTAGCGTATCACCAGTTGGATGAGATTAAAAAACTTCCTTCTATAAAACGAAGCCCGGAAGTTAACGCGGTCGTGAAAGATCTCTCCTCGGGAGTGTATCGATGGGTGAATTCCTTACAACGAAGTACGCACTATGGCTCGACATGCGAACCACTGACGATGACCAACTACACAGCAGTGGGAGGAGAATAGAAAATGCTAGCAAGGGTGTCACTATACAGATAATGAAGCTCCAGGAAACGGCTGGTAAATTAAACATATATTTGTACGTGATTATGGATGCGCAACTTAATAGACAGAATGGAAGATTCGTGCAAGCAATCTATTAATAATCTTTTACCTAAAGATCCGCACTGCACTATCATATGTGGGCAAACGGGCTGCGGAAAAACAGCTTTTATTCTAGATATTTTACAAAGTCATTATAGGGACGTTTTCGAACATATTATTATTCTGTGTCTGACTATAAGCGTTAATAAAACATACTTATCGAGAGATTGGGTAATGAATGACGATGGGGTACACAGAGTCGATTCGGGCGATCGTTTACAAGACTGTTTACGAGTATGTCACGAAAAATACAAAGGAGAATCAACTCTTTTCGTAATAGACGACTGCAGCGCGAGTAAAGAACTCACAAAAAAGAAAGATATGCTTTCGTATTTAGCATTCTCCGGACGGCATACTCAACATAGCGTTTGGGTACTTACTCAAAAATACAACTCTGTCCTGAAAGATCTCAGGGAGCAAACCAAATGGGTAGCGTTGTTTCATTGCAAAGATCGAGATTCATTCGAGGAATGTTTGCACGAAAATGATGTTATTTATACCAAGCTCGAACGAGATAAAGTCAGAAAACGGCAACGAAGCACTGTAAACTCGTATTAAAAATGTTTGCCACCAGTACCACAGTACGCCTGGCTGTGTGTTTCACGGGTGTATAAAATCAATAATGATGTGTAAAAGAAAGCCTTACAGGTGATCAGTTATGTCATGACCATGACGAACCTGTAGATGCGTGAAAACACTTAACTATTTATACTTCAGAGAATATTGTTCTGGCATTTTGGCATTTGTGACATACCAGACAATGGGATCACTATAATATTATATGTCAATTACAGGCAACATGGAAGATGAAGTTTCGTCATTCCTTAGTCAGCTGGACAATGACACATTCAGTGCAGTGACTATCCGGGGGAACCGAGAGAGCAGGAACTGTTTACCCGGACCCAGGATGTTTGGCCCTACAGTCGAACAAAAACTCTTACAAACCTGTAGAGGTTATGAATTCTCTGATGAAATCCTCCTTGGGGCACTTATTGCATTTTCCTTGCTCAAGAAAATCTACATGATATAGTTGTATCCATTTTCCTTAATAAAAAATGTTACCACACAAAAAACTTTGTTTTTGTATGATATAGGACCACCCTTACAGGGCCTCACCCCCCACGGCGCCTCACTCCAGGGGGAGCAACTCTCGTCCAAATCACTTTCCATATGTCAAATGCTGACGGAATGTGGGGCGGTGGGTGGCCGTTTCATCGCCGTTTGGTTGTCCATCTCTAGACGAACCACTTGGCCACGAAGCAGATCCGGGAAGCGTTGGAACACCAACCTGACCGCTCTCAGTTCTAGCACATTGATATGCAGTTTGATCTCCTGCTGGGACCATAGTCCCGAGGAATTGTGATCATTCAGAACACCTCCCCAGCCGGAGAGTGACGCGTCTGTTTGAACTGTGAGAGACGGAATGGGAGTGTCAAGGGGGAGCCCCCAAGACAGATTCCTGACCTTGGTCCACCACTGAAGGTGTGTAATGAGCCACTACAGAGTCTCGAGCACAGTCTCGAGATCTTCCGAATTCGCCTAAAGTCGACGGAGTGCTTGTTGAATGGGACTCATTCTCAAGCGCGCCCGCCAGACCACATCCACTGTCGCCGACATGTTGCCCAGTAACTGGTGTACGAGCAGTGTGACTTGCGCATAAGGAACTTGATATCTTGTGACAGAGATACACGTCCTCTCACCGTGTTGAAATTCGCCCCTAGGAAGACTAGATTCTGAGTAGGGCTCAGATCTGACTTCTTGAGATTGACTATCCACCCCGGAGTGATCAGAATGTCTATCACTTCTTGTGTAGCTATCTGACTCAGGGATTGCGATAGAGTTCTTAGTAACCAGTCGACGAGGTACGGATGGCAGAACCGACCTTTCGACCTGGCCACTTGGGCAGGAATCAACATCAGCTTGGTGAACACCCTCGGGGCCGTGGAGATCCCGAATGGTAGAACCCTGAACTGATAACACCTCCCGTCGAAAGAAAACCTCAGGTATTTCTTAAACTCGGGGTGTATGGGTACGTAGAGATAGGCGTATTTTAGGTCTATTGACGTTAGCCATTCTCCTGTCTCAACAGCTGAGATCACTGTTTGGTGACTAGGGAATAAGTCGAGTAGAAGCCCTCGCTTTCCTGTCCCTCGGGACCCGGTTCGATCGCAGCTTTCATAAGAAGTGCGTCGACCTCGGCACGGAGGAATTCCGCCTTCTCTCGGGTAGCAGGCACCAGTGTGCTTTATCCCGGAGAAGGGGGCGGATGATGTTTCCACCGAGGCAAATGGCCATCCCTTAAAGTGGACGGGGTCCGGGGATTGTGATGTAACTGTCTCCCATTCCTTCAGGAATAAAGCCAGTCGGCCGCCTACGGGGACATCCGGCTTGAGGCAGTGAACCCCAGCTGTCGGCAGTTCGATAACATGCGACCGTGGGTCCGTCCGGGGCACTTTGGGCGCTAATGGGAACCGGATGGGTTCCCGGCCCTGCGAAAAGTCTGCTGCCCTCGACCAACTGCCTTGCCCCGGCCCCTGCCTCTCTTGCTCCTCCCAGCGCCCTTACCTGAAGGAAGCGGCTGCTTCCAAGCAGGTGTGGACTTCTGACCCGGTGCGTCAGCGTAGGAGGGGTCAAGTGGAGAGGCCCGCTTACGCGGTTTTAACGCTTGGTACCTCCAACAAGGCCTTAGAGTCTTTGATGGAAGTATACAATTGAGCGGCCTCTCAGACCACCTGCTGAGCCCCTGGGAAGAGGGTGGCACCCATCTTATACGGCAAAGCAAGTAGGTCTTGGCGTGTTGAGTATTTAGATACCAACATCCACAGCCTGCGCATGCCCATAACAGCGCACATCATCTGCGAGGCACAGCTACGAATAGCGTCCCGCGCAAGATGACTGAACTTCCGTTAGTTGCGCCGCCAATTCCGAAGAGTCGGCCAGCCCCTCTCCCGTTAACTCCCTCTGTACAGCCGACAGATACGCGGAGTGTACGGACACGGAGCTGTTGGCATGCATTATGATATTGCTCCTCGAAGCATATGTAAGCAGCCTTCAACTCCGCACTGCACGCGGGAAAGAGGGGCAACCGCCGGCCCTGCTTGACCTTAGTCAAGTTGGGGGTCTCCGACTCTGGCAACCACCTGAGGCAGTACCTGGACAATCCTTTCCCGCACGTGACTCTGCACCCAGCCCAAAGCCGAGTCCCGGTGCCGAGGTGCCGAGGTGCCGAGGTGCCTGGGGTTCAAGGGAACCCACCTGGCTCCGGGCTAGGTATCCACTAGTGGAAGCCTCGGCCTTGGAAGAGGCCTCTGGCTCCGCAAGGGAAAATTATGCGTCGGTAGTGCACGGGCCGGTGCCCGCCACCCCTCCGCTGGGGAGCGACCTCGAGCTGGAGCCGAAGCTCGGTCTCGGAATGTCCCCGAGACCAAGGGAGCCCACCTGGCTCCGGGCTAGGTATCCACTAGTGGAAGCCTCGGCCTTGGAAGAGGCCTCTGGCTCCGCAAGGGAAAATTATGCGTCGGTAGTGCACGGGCCGGCGCCCGCCACCCCTCCGCTGGGGAGCGGCCTCTAGTCGGAGCCGAAGCCCGGTCTCGGATCGTCCCCGAGACCAAGTGGTCTGCCTCGGCCGACGCCAGGCATAACACAAGGCCTCGAGGCCACGTCCTGCGCCGACAACAGGGAAGGCTCAGCCCGTAGCTCCTGCCCGAGCCGAGACTTCACCTCCTCCATCATCGACTTAAGTAACGCAGAAAAGTCTGCCAAAGACAGTGCAGGAGAGGGTGCAGTGCTTACTACGGGGACCCTCGAGCCTTCTCACCCGGCCCGACCCGGCATTGTAGACGAATGCTGTATGATATAACAAAACCCCAACAGATTACAGATGACATAAGGAAAGTGATTTGGGTGAGAGTTGCTCCCCCTGGCGTGAGGCGCCGTTTTTTGTGTGGTAACATTTTTTATTAAGGAAAATGGTTACAACTATGTCATGTAGATTTTCTTGAGCAAGGAAAATGCAATAAGTGCCCCAAGGAGGATTTAATCTGAAAGAGAATTGCAGTGTTGCTCCTTGAAATCTACGACCAGATCAACGTTTTGTCTCAAAGAGTTTTGAGCCGATTGACTGCTGGAGAACAACAAATGCAGGGCGAATCACTCATTAGTATCATGGAGATTCTTGTTTGGGATTTCCATCTCCATTGTTTAGATAAAGGTAAGCAAATCATGTCAAGTATTCTCTAAAATGTATCCCCAACCAACAATACATATACCAATGTATTTTACGCCACATAAATCAAAAGTTTTTCTTTGCTTCATGGCAATCGTTTTAAATATGAGCAGGAAATGCGTTTCTTAACATCTATGTTACAATCTTCACCATGACACTACGTGGAAAATTTGAAACATGTGAGTATGAGCACACAAATATTTTAGTCTCGTTAAAATATTTGTAACCTATAATTTTGTATTTTTGGGTAGACATTTAGGCAGCAATCACTCGTTTTGTACACGTACATACGATTATTATACTATTAGAATAACTCCAATAGATAACTTACTTTTGAATGTTCAGGATTCACAAGGACCATCATACCTGAACGATTGGTTGATCGTCGTCAACCAAAGGGAACACAGGCATCCGAAGATTTGCGTAAATTGACTGGGGGGGATTGCTTTTTTCATCATGTCAATGGGAGGATATTCAATGCATCTGTGTATGTTAATGACCCTTTCCTAGGAATGATCATCACGTTAAACAAGCGATGCATTCCGTACGAGGACATTGTCTTAACAGTGAGTGCCAACAATGTCCATGTGTACTAAATCGTTATTAAAACAAGAGTAGCCTTCTGCATACCGTATATAGATGCATGATTGCTCTCGTTAATCTTGTGCAATTCTGTCTGGTTTATCTTAATTTCAAGATTATTATTGTATTCCTAGTACAACGTCAGTTCCTGTAATACCATCATAATGTAAAAAATACCTGTCCAAAAAGTAGGATAATCTGTACTTAGAGTGTTGTTTCCCAAATATAACATTTGTTACATTTGACCACTTTCTAAATGACAATTGTGTTCATACCTGTAGGTAGTCGAGAAGCACGAATGTAACTTGTTTGTAAAAAAATATTTATATCAAATTCTAAACTGAAATGTCAATTTGTTTGCAAATAGTATTGTGTAAACTACAATACACACATTTGTAGCCTTGGTTTCGTATATGCTTATGTACATTTGACATAGTTTTCCAGGGTTACCAGCAATCCAGACACACACCTTCGTGTACACCAGAAGAGACAGGTTCAGAGGTAGCTATACACGCCGCGGCGTACACCCTACAGTTCTATATTAGTTTTCAATACCTTTCGATGACAAGAACTTCACCTGATAAAATACTGTTCTATCTTTCATTCAGGTTGAAAGCTTTCAACTGTACCTCAGTGAGAGCGGGAATGAAAGTGATACAGGCCGTGATCCAACATGGACACTTCCCCCCAAGTCTCCGCCAGAGGTTGTTGTCCCTTCCACAATGGTAAATATTACACAGCAATAACTGTGAAAATGTACATGTGAGACGTACATTTGTTTAATTTAGAGATACAAAGGGAGGATGTCATTTAAAATAAGAAAATATGTCACTCACGGAAAACTGTTATAAATGAAATAATCTGGAGGTACAATGAAGCTCTGATAGAATACTAGTAGATCTTAAATTGGCATTATTCAACTTAGCAACAATATTTCATGCCAATGTTCCAATTGGAATTTAATACATATTGCATTGATCAGACATTATCTGTCCATGTAATCCATTTGACTTACTTTGACAATAATATCAATACTATCTAGCTTCATATGCAAGTATGTAATTACATCAGAAAGCGGCCTGTATATATGTCATAAATTGATGTTGACATGTGTTTACACCTGAACAGACTGGACCCATGAAACAAAGACACAAATGATAACTTACAGTGAATTCTATACAGCTGTGAAAAAATGGCAATAACTTATAGACGAACTTAACATACAATGTTTTTTCACCAATGATAAGCTTTGCATTTTATTACGAATCTTTTTAATTTCAGGGTACTCGCACGACCAGTATAAGAAAGAGGAAACGAGAGGTTTGTAGCGTATACATTACTGCATGGTTGTGTGGATTATATTTAGTAACTGTTATATATGAATTTTCACTTTCTCTTTTCGTTTCTCTGCAAATGATGTCCTAAAACATTTCATAATATATATTAATTTTGTATCTCATAGGATATGCAGCAAGAGCAAGAGCGAACGAAGAAGGGGACAAATCCTGCGAATGAGGTGAATTTAGGTTTCCTTTCTCATTACTGTCAGGACTAATTATTTTAGTAAAGAATTTATCTCGTCTTATTAACCAGACTTCTGAGACAGTATGAGCAAGTTGGTAGCTAAGTTATAACCTGTGTTGCCCGTGTATGTTGTATGATCTAACAAAATCTTCTTCACATCATTATAGTTCCTGATTCTTTGAAGAGGACCGGCATCAGGCCAGTCGACGAATGCATCGTCTCCTCGAACTTCCCCACTTGCATCGCCTGAAACGACCCTATGCACATCACGATCACCACGCCATGTATCTACCTCAACAACAGGACTGTCTGACCATTCCAGTGACGCAGATATCGTTACACTGAAACTTGAAGTCGCCAGCCTCAAAAAGGAAATCCAGGAATTAGGACTGTTGGTAGAGTCGATGGTTTCTGACACCACGCCGCCTTCACCAATATCAGTCCTTCCATTACCTGCCCTGTCTCCGTTAAAGGGCAAGTTCACACGGAAATGAACCTATTTTTCTTGTACTTTTTCCACATTAAAAGTGTTAACCTAGAAGTGTCATAGACAAAAATATAAAAATATCACAATTAATTAACATATTTTTCGCATTAAAACGATTTATATTTTTCACATTTACCAAGTGTTCTATTTCCACAACAAAAACACCATGGCTTATGCCCCTTGCAATATGACGTCATTGGTGCCAATTGATAAACATTATGACGTCATCATGCTTTGTTAGAGCCGCTTCACGTGGTGTAGGTACATGTGTGTGATTCTAGCGTCTCAGATGTCAGCCAGCATAGTGTTATGCTGAGTCTCCACTGCGCCGGAGTGTGTCGTAGGCCATGTTGTTTTACCGCAAACTGGTACTTGATATCTTTTGCGTTGAGAATAGACAGGGACCCAGTTGAATTGGCACCAATTACGTCATAATCTAAGGGGGATAACTCAGGCCTGTTTAGCTCGAAAAACGAAGGCCTCATAACGGCATATCATTTTCACACTATTGTGAGCTTCCTACTTTCACTGTGAAAAAAATGAGTGTATATTTTCAAACACAGATACTAATTAATTCTAAAATTGCGTTTTGTTTAGAAAAAGAAAGAAAGTGATTTTTGCGTGTACACTTCCCCTTTAAACAATGCATTGTCGTCACCACCACTGTCATCATCTCCCCTCTCAACGACATTCACTGTAATGCCATCCGCCACGTCTTTAACATCAACGCACTCCAACATCATCATGGAAAGCAGATTTTGGGATCTGCGGGTAGCAGATTTGCCATGCAGAATATGCGATATCAACATTAAAACCTCCCTGGACTCACAGAATTCTCAACAGGACGTAGTAGAAGAAGCAAGGCAGCGAGGTGGACAGAGCCATAAGCAGCTTGCAAAAAAACTTTATAGAACTGTTTTCAGCCTGCGAGAAACGTATAAAAGAAATGTGTACGGGATAATAAAGTCAGGCACATCGCAAAGATGGCCATGATATTTGATGTCGTATTCAGTACCTTCCCACCCAAGGACAAAGCAAAGGAAAAACAAGAATGTGTAGACGCTATCAATCAAGTAAACAGATATGTGTGGGGTCGGCGAATGAAAGGAATTGAACTTCCACCAATGATATAAATGAAATGTTATGTTACTTATCCTATGTATCTGCTGTTAATAATTCACAACTTTAACTTTATCTTCAACCCTGTCTAGTCGAAAACAACTTTCAATATTGTTCAATTAGTAGCGTCACGTTGGTTTTCAATGTCCATTTCCACCTCTGTAGAGATAAATATGCAAATGCCTTAGAATATACCGGGCGGCCACTGTAAAGGAGGGCGGGATTTTGCATGTGCTATTTTCCATGCTAAATATATAAATGCAACAATGCTCTCAAGTAACATGTTAAGTGTATTTAAGTATGTTAGTTATTCCCAGTATTCCCGTGTACATTGAGTTCTTGTTAAAAATAAATCCTTTGAAATCAGTTTTATTCGTCACTTCATGTAATAGTGTCTTTTGGCGGAATCGTGTGCAAACATCAACATGATCATCTCAAAACAACGCCCGGTAGTGAGCACAGTCCATAAGAAAATAAACTTTCATTAACAGCCGTAAAACAGCATTGTCGCTTATTGGTCAACCCCTAGTGGCTAATGTGTACATAAAAACTGACCTTTTTGTATATTAAAGTATTTTGTAGCCTTTAGTTTTGTATCGGCACATGCGTGTCGCTATACTATTTTTTATGTATAGCTCTTATATTGAGCATGATATACGAAAATATAATGTTTGTACGTCTGTTAAAGTTGTTATTTTTATTTCTAATAGCAGAAACTACATTAATATATTTGATCCCTGATAACTGGAATTCTTTTCCATTCACACGGAATAAAAAAAACCCATGTGATTGCTACACTGCACATCATATACATGAACTAGTGTCCATTGTAATGTGTTATTATACGGTCCCAAGTATTTTGTGTAAAAAGAATATACTTTAGTCTTGGCACAATAAAGACAGAAGATATTCATTGTGGTGATCAACATTTAATAACAACCAATACTTCTAGTTAAATACACTTTGTTTGGTATCATAGTTGTTTAGACGTATTCGTAATTGCATTCATTATTAATTCCTAACACATTTTACAGCTGGCACTTTGAAAAATAAGAAATACAAAAGTGCGTTCAAAACCCAGACGCAGCGCCATCTACTTCTATCACCCTTGGTAGAACTGTGTCGAGATTACTGATAAGTCTGCAGCATGCTCCTGGATCCATCGTTGCCCAGAATGCATAAATGCCATTTATAAGTTCATCCTTGGTCGCGGTTTCACCCGACGTCTAATATGCCATTTCAATGAAGCCCAAGCTTTCTCGATTGGGTTGAGATCTGGAGATTCTGGAGGCGTTGGCCAATGGTGGATCCTGTTTAAAGATAGCCACTGTGTTGTACTCCTACTGGTATGCTTGGGATCGTTGTCCTGCATTAGTCCATGACCATCTGGGTATTTGTCCTGAATGAAAGGCACTAAGAACTCCTTTAGAATGTCTTGATAAGCCTCGCTGTCCATAGTTCCCGTGAAGAGACAAATATCTGTTGCACCACGTCGTGAAATCCCTGCCCAAACATGTACTTGATATGGATGTTTTGGGCGGCTTTTAAATTTTGGTGGACTCCCTTTCTTTCGAAAACATTTCTTTAACGTTGACTCTAGCTTCACTTTGCACTCAGTTGTGAATATGACATCATCAAATGCATCATTCGACGTCATGACGTTTCACGCAGTTCGGTTGGCGAATGAGTTGACAGTATCGAGTCTGTTCCTGAACCCAGCCGAGTCTGTTCCGTTCACGACAAATTGTTACCGTTGAAACAGATTTACTCTTTTTACTTTCAAGCAGACGTTGTAACTCGGGAGAGGACGTTTCGTCATCTGAATGCATAACGCCATCTATGTAGCTGATGTCAGAATCCGTCAAGATGCGAGGTCTGCCGCTCCTGGCCCAGTGACTAACACGACCGGTTTCCTTGTATCTTCTGGAGGTCATCTGAAGTGATTTTATTGAAACTTTCCACATATCTTCTTGTAACAATCTCGCTTGTATCACAGGATATATGAGATGTTGCTGACGAAGAAGTATTATCTTGTGTCGCAAATAGCTGGGAACCCTTGATCCTCGCACAAACCTGTCGATATTGTTCATATCTGTTGCGCTTCTGTCCTAATAACCATGAGTATTACATGTGTTGTTAAATGTAAAGACGTCTTAAATGCCATTGGTTAACGCTGTTATTCCATTCTGTGCACAGCTGAATCTACCCTACAAGCGTCTCTTTGGTAGGCATTATGAATACAATTTGCTGGAAGGTGGATTTCATCCTCCTCGTTTGTGATGTTATATAACGCATGACTCTTCCTGTTATTTCGTGCACCTGCTTAGCATTGTGAGTAGACAATGTAATTAACTATCCGAGTTGTCTTGCTATAAGTTACACAATAAACTGTGGGTTGCTTTTTATTGGAGTAGATATTCTAAGTATATTGTTCATTGTGATTAATGCTTCGGTCCGATCTACTCTCGAATGTCTAGAGAATAAAGAATTCATCAAATCACAACTATACCTAGCTCTGATTGCAAACACTTGACATTTGTATGTACATGCATCAACTTTTGCACAAACCAAGTGATTAAGGAGCAGAAACTCATCTTACAACTTACCACTATGAGGAACAGATACACAACACAGTATTTGACCTATCATTTTAAAACCATGTATGTATGATGTCTTTGAAAAGCATTTAGAAGTTAAACACATTAGGAAAACATCTATATTTTGGGGAACACAACGTTTCGGGGTGTATACTTATTCCTTCACCCGAGGAAGGAGTAAATATTACTCCGAAACAATGTTTTCCATATATTAAAGAAGTTGTCATCCATAAATTCTCTTCCTTGCATGTATGTATCATCCGTGTATCATCTGATTTCTACTTCGTTTTAAGGAAAGTTATTCTGTTTTCAGTCTAAGACCCCAATATCAGAAGTATAAGCTTCATAAGCACATCAAACCGAAATGTAGTTCATCCTTAATCTTGAATGCTAAATGAAACAGAGACTGATGGCCGCTGTTAACATTCAGCATTTCAGGCATTTACAGGCAAATCCTTAGTGTGTATGAATCAGATGAAACGAGGACCAAAATCAGGGTGAATCTAGAAATAAACACAATCAGTGTATTCAGGCACCATTAGGAATTACGTTCTCATACACGACTCCCCATTCTGAAGACTATTCTTAACGAATACAAATGAGTTACACACATTAGCGAACATAAACATTTGTCTATTAATTTCTTATTGTTTAATATAGAATAGGTGTTCCATCCTTGCGAAAAAAATACACTTTTTAAAAACATGTCCATGTAGAGCATTGTACTGTTAGTGGACGTAACCACCTACACCTCTCTAAATATAACAAGAGGAACAGGCTTAATATAGCTCCAGGTTAGAATGAATATACATGTACATGTATCTTCGCATCCGATATATATGGGGAAGTAACACACGACAGCATTTCTGAAGTGTACATGTAGTGTACCAATATGGCACCACTTTTGCGGCACTATTACCCACTTTTGAGGCACTATCACAGCCACTATCACAGCCACTTTCACAGCACTATCGCGCAACTTTCACGGCACTATCGCGGCACTTTTGCCGCGAAACCTCGCGCCATTTTCTGGCCTCTTTCGCGGTATTATCGTGCCCTTTTCGAGTCACTTTCGCGATACTTTCACGGCGCTATCACGAACATATCGCGAAATAGTTTTGCAATACAGGGGAAGTGACTTTTGAAATGTAGTGTATGTGTAGCTAAAAATAGACAACAGTCAGCCCGACAGAGCTGAACAGCCAGTCATCGCTATTTATAGCTGAGTAGTCAGGGTT